ATCTTGTGATTTACAAAAGACACAAATCAACATCAAATTTAAATCTTCTTTGCAGAAACATGGCTACAGGATATATCTTATTTATTATTTTTAAATGATTCTCCTTCACTTTAGAAGATTTAGGCCATTGGACAAATTTAGAATGAGCAGAAGTCATACTGGTTTTATGATTTATATTGGGAGGTTTCTTGAAGGAATCTTTGTTATAATCAATAAATCCTTTTGTTGCAAACATTCATTGATAATCTTATTACATTTGAAGTCAACTAAGTTACAGATATTTAATTTTAATGTGGGCATCAAATCATCACCTTTGAATATATAATATTTTTAATTCATTGAATCAGCTGTTGGTCAGGTTACTTCTTGTTGTGCCATTAGCTCTAAAATAGTTATTAAATCAAGTGTTTACTTGTGCAGGTAAAACTAGATGCCAACAATTTTCAGTCAGGTCATCTGGAGAGTTTTTTTTTTTCTGAAACGTTTCACTTTCCATCCAGAAGGCTTCATCAGTCAAGGAAACACAACAAAACTGATTCTTCCCCCAACAGCTTACTCCTGTAGTGAACTAGACCTCCTACATCAATCTGTCTCTGAGGACCTTCAGGGGACAGGAACTGTTATTTCATTGATTTGAATCCAGAAATACAAATTATCTCATCAAGAGACTATTTAATTGTATCCTGAATTAATCGATTGAAAGAACACTCTTTTTTATATTATCATTACTATTTTACAATATCTTGATAATCAAAAGTGTGTTTAGTTCATACCATTTCTAAATGTTGAAGTGAACCACTCATTTAAATCAACTGTGAAACAGTATTAATGATTTTTAAACCTCATTAGACTTAGATCATACAAGTTAAATGTCAAGTTATGTTGGTGCTAAGATGGTCTCTTTGCCACACCCCCTCCTCCATTGCCGGCCCTCTTCCTTGTTGCCAGTCATGTCAAACTGGTTGAAAACAACAAAGTCCATGCTCAGTAATCCAGGTAACTGCATACCTGGATTACTGAGCATGAACTTTGTTGTAAAAGTAGATGTTTAACAACCGTTAAAATACACCAGAATGCAGGAAATGGCATCTATTCAAAATTTTCTGGGGGAGGACCACCATACCCCCACCCCCACCCCCGCCTCCAAACACTGTGCCCCCCCCCCCACCCCATTACAAATGCTTCTGGCTCCAATGGCCATCACGTTGCTAAACAAGTACACATATGGTGTCATGTGGTGTTCAAAGTGCGTTCAACTTAACTCAGTCTTGATGATTTGTGTCAACAAGAGGACGTAGTAGCATTTATAGTTCCATGATCAGATGGATTTTTATACATCAAAATACACTTGATAGTTAGAATTTTAAGTATATTTACTGTATATTATGGTAATTTATTCTGTATTTTGCTAGATTATGGTGATTTTGGGGTCGTGATGATGAGGCCCTTGAAGATTGTTGCCCAGGGTACAGCGAAGTGTTAATCTGGCCCTGTTTATACCAAAAGCCAATCAAATTTGATCACTGTAATATTTTAGCTAAGTTTGGTAGTCTAGAATTTTCCAATTTATTTTATTTTATTTTATTTTTTAATAAAAAATTGATTTTCAGATGCTTAAATGGACCCAAACATTAAGTAATTATACAGAAACTGCAGGGCTGCAGCAGATCTACCAGAGCAGCTTTAAATGGCGACTAAGGTTCCTTTTCCTAGAACCACTTTTGTTCAAAGTTCTCTCTCTGTGAGAGGATCTGCAATTTATAACTCACTCCCCGTCAATTTAAAGTTTGTAACCAGATTTAATATGTTTAAAAAACAAGTTAAACTCTGGCTATGTCAAAAACAGCATTGCATTCATGCTTAATGTATTTTATTAATCCATTTGTTTTATGTGTATGACTCATCTAGTTTAGAAAAATCCTTTAGTTTTGAGATATGATCTTCCGTTTTGTCTAAACAAATTTAAATGAGTGTACTGTTTACTTCACCTCTACGGCCCCTCTGTGTAACAGAAGAACGCACAGAGACTGCACCTGCTGCATTGTCCCTATGGGGCAGCACTGCCCCCTATCGGTGCGGCAAGGTATATCCTGCCGCACCTCTTGTGTTTTTCAGCATGCATTATGACCAATTAGAAAGCAGAAATATGTCACACACATTCATTCAATATATTAGATAGACTGTAGAACATCAGCATGTGCAGTACATGTGTAATCAAACATGTATATTGGCGATATAAAGAGAGACAGCAATGGGCATGCACCAACCACCTACTTCATATATTGTATATGACACAGCACCCCCAGAGGTCAACCAGAGCACTACACTGCCTCACCCCGCATTGTTTGAAAAGACAATGCGTAAAGTCTGTGATTTTGACCACTGAAGTGTTGAAATAATTCAGAAAACACTTTTATTAAACACTTTTACAGAACAGTCAAGTGGTCAAATGTATTTTCTCTTATCATTGTCAGTATTTTACTTGTCATGATGACAGGTGAGACAATGCCTCCCCTGACTCAATTCAGTTCAATTCAATTCAGTTTATTTCTACAGCACCAAATCACAACAAAGTTGTCTCAGGGCACTTTACAGGAACATTCACATAAAAGCCAGTTAGTAAAGTTCTCTATCTAAGGAATCCAGCAGACAAGTTGAATCTTGGCTTCGTTGCAGTCTCCCATCCTGAGCAAGCACAGTGGAGACAGTGGAAAGAAAAACTCCCTTTTAAAAGGAAGAAACCTCCAGCAGAACCAGACTCAGGACAAGAGACCATCTGCTTTGACCAGCTGGTTGAGAGGACAGGAAGGAGAGACAGACGAACACAGAATGGTAGGTCCAGGTATAGGTCCAGGTCCAGGTATAGGTCCAGGTCCAGATATAGGTCCAGGTGTATTTAAAAGACAAAAACACATGTTAAGGATAGAAAAAATAATTACAAATACAGAACAGGTTGAGCAGAGTAAGTAAAGACAGCAGCAGAGTGAAAAGTGTGGTCAGTTTGTCCTCCAGCAGTCTAAGCCTATAGCAGCAGAACTAAGGGACAGCTCAGGAAACCCAAGCCGACCCTAACTATAGGATTTATCAAAAAGGAAAGTCTTAAGCCTAATTTAAAAACTGCAGCTCACTGCGCAGAGGGGGGCTCCCCACTGCACCTGTCGCGTCATTAGCATTTTCATCATGACGGTCCAATAGGCCATGGGGGAGATGAAGTCAGAACTTTTGACTTTCTCTGCTTTGAGATCATCTTACTAGCTTTTTGCTTCTCATATGCGGCGCCATCAGTTTTTAAAAAACAAAGTTCAGTCCAGAGGCGGTAGGGCCAGGGACAGTCATACAATATGGCTTTCCAGCAGGACAAACGGGATCTCCCCCACGATGCAGCTTACATGCTCAGCGCCATCTTGAGTCCATCCAATATCTCAATATTTTTAAGCTAAATCGCTGTATACAATATAGAGCTCAATATATTTTTCTTTCCATAAAGTAATAACAAAATATATTTCTGAGTCAAAGCTTTGTCCCAGTTGTCAAACAGGCACATTTATTAACAAGCAGCTGTAAATGTACAAAATAAATGTCTAAAAAAGCTATTTGCATATATTTAATAAAAATCTTCTTCAGCAGCGCTGCCTTCACGACGTTAGTAAGCGTGAGTGAAGCAGCAGTGAGGGGGGCTGCTTGTTGTATTCAGTGAGGGAGGAGGAGGGGCTGCGTGAAGTTGGTGGCACACACAGGCAATTCAATTCAATTCAGTTCAATTCAATTCAATTCAGTTCAATTCAATTCAATTCAGTTCAATTCAATTCAATTCAGTTCAATTCAATTCAATTCAATTCAATTCAATTCAGTTCAGTTCAATTCAGTTCAATTCAATTCAATTCAGTTCAATTCAATTCAATTCAATTCAGTTCAGTTCAATTCAGTTCAGTTCAATTCAATTCAATTCAATTCAGTTCAGTTCAGTTCAATTCAGTTCAGTTCAGTTCAATTCAGTTCAGTTCAGTTCAGTTCAATTCAGTTTATTTATATATCACCAAATCACAAAAAAGTTGTGTCAGGGCACTTTACAGGCAGAAAAAGAAGAACTACTGTGAACAGATTTTCAAGTCTTTTAGTGAGAGGTAGTGCAACATTAATAAATCATCATCTTATCATATTGCCAAAGACACGGTCCTTAGCAGCTAACAAGATGGCTAACTTTAGCCATCTTGTTCCACAGTTGAGACTGGGACCGTGTCTTTAGCAATATGATAAGATGATGATTTATTAATGTTGCACTACCTCTCACTTTTCCTGTCATGAGGCACAGCACGGCTAAATGAGTTCTGAGCCGTGGTTTGTCTCAGAGAAGGAGGCTGAGGTCTGTCAGAGCTGCAGCTTCACACACGCTTCATACTCCACTTGTCCACGCTGTTTTAAATGGTGAAAAAGATTCATAGTGCCGACCTTTTGTTGGGACTTGTTATCAGCTTGTCTACAGAAAACATTTTTCTGCTGCTCACCTGACAATTTAAATCCAAACCATCTCCAAACAACAGCCGTTGTTTTTCTTTTTGCTCAGCAGCTAAGCTGCTCTTCGATATCCTGTCCCGTGTTTACTTGTCCTAAACTCCTGCCCACCTGGCGAAGCAGGAAGTGAAGGGAGTGTGCATGAGTGAGGGGCTGTGTTTGTATTCAGTGAAGGAGAAGGAGGGCTGCGTGCAGTTGATGCAGATGGGAGAACACGAACTACACAGATTCTCAAGTCTAATAATACTCGATGGTTGCAATAGAGCCATTTTAACCATTGTAAATTGAAAAACTTGCGATACATAGAGTATATTCGATACATCGCTCAGCACTACTATAAAGTTCCTCTAATTGCAAGGTGCCTGAGAGCACTCTGATTGGCTGAGACACTGCACACTGTGAACATAGCCTTGAACAAAACAGATTTACTGCAAATGATGACGAAGCAAAACAGAATAAAAACAGTCAGAGTCCAACTCAGACATCACAGAGTGTCACCTTTGTTGTTGACTTTGATGTTGAGAGGTGGCTGGGAGGCCATAGTTCTGAGGTTCTGCAAAGTGTGCTCCATGATCCTCTGCTGCTCTTCTGCAATTATCATAATCTTCTGTGGTGGTTCACTGATTTCCAGTTTTTGTCTGATGTGCTCCAGAGCTGATGACTGGGTCACTGTTGCCTGATGATGGTCTCCAGGTGACAGAGGAAGAGCCGTCCTACTCGGTAGACAACTGCCCATCCCAGGGCCCTCTGGAGAGACAAAACAGTAATATTACGTTCATGTACTTAAATGAAGCACATGGTGCTGGCTTTACAAACTTCAGTTTGTATTTCAGTAGTCTTTCAGGTTTACAAACCTTCACTACAAAGGGTTCACAGCTTTCAAGCGCCACTATATATATTAGTGCTGGGCACGTTAATGAGTTATTATTGTGTTAACACTGCAAATGATTAATGGCAACTATTTTTTTAACGCGTTAACACTGTTGAGTTTATTTTTCCTAATTTTTAATTGTGGTTCTCAGTGGCTGTGATATGGCAGTGAACATATGTCTGTGGCTGTAAATGCACAAACTGGTTGGTCGCAGGGGGCGGGATATTGATCACTACTGGTTATGGATGGGCATCATCACACATCTCAACCAATGAGAGCCTTTGTTTTGTAGGGCTGCTGCCACACGGCACTCACGTGGACCCTATCAGAAACTGAGCAGTGAGGACAGAAACATGGAGAAAGACTTTTAAATGGGGCATTACTGTTTAAAACGTTTCTTGATGGTAAGGTGGATAGAAGTAAAGTTATCTGTAAGCACTGCAGCACTGAACTGTAACAAATACTATATTGAAGTGGATAGCTACAAATTGCAGGCCAAATAGCAGAGTGGAAGATGCTGGTGACGGCCTTAGAACCTACAGAGTAGGAAAGGTACAGTCGGAGGAATGTACAAGTTAATTTGTTAGTTTCATTACTCAGCCTGCATTACTAGTTTTTTCCTCTTCTTTTGACTGAGATTTTCCAAAGGAAATCCAGTGCAAACAGGTCAGAGAGTCAGAGATTCTTTAATGTCATTCGCACCACATGTGGTACATGTGGTGGATCAAAATAATGACTATCGGCCAGTGGCCCTCACCCCGATAGTCGCTAAATGCTTCGAAAAACTGGGCATGACTCACATCAAAACAACCATCAACATCAACGAGGACCCTCATCAGTATGCATACCGTGAGAACTGATCAACAGAGGAGTAGTGTAGTTGGCAGCTCAGAACACCACATACAGAACACCATGGACTTTGTGGACAAGGTGAGGGATGTCATCATGGAGACTGATGAAACAATGGTCTCTTTTGATGTCACATCACTCTTTACGTGCATTCCTGTTGATGATGCAGTAGAGGTGGTCAGTTTAAAATTAAAATCAGACACCACTCTGAGCAGCAGGACCACGCTTTCCACAGAACAACTGTGTCAACTCTTGAAACTGTGCCTGCAGTCAACCTACTTCACATATGGGGAGCAATATTATAGGCAGAAACATGGGTGTGCTATGGGGTCTCCAGTTTCTCCTATTGTTGCCAACCTGTACATGGAGGAGGTAGAAAAGAGAGCCTTGACGTCCTTTTCAGGGACACCACCAAGTCATTGGTTCAGGTATGTTGACGACACCTGGGTTAAAATCAAATCTCAGGAAGTCCAACATTTTACTGACCACATCAACTCTGTGGATAAATACATCAAGTTCACACGAGAAGATGTAAAAAATGGCAGGTTGGCTTTCTTGGACTGTGAGGTCTCAGTCTCTGATAGAGGACATTTGCAAACTGGGGTGTACCGCAAACCCACACACACAGACCAGTATTTGCAGTTTGACTCCCATCACCCTTTGGAGCACAAGTTAGGAGTCATCAGGACTCTGTATCACAGAGCAGACAGCGTCCCCACTAACTCAGGAGCCAGGCAGAAGGAGAAATCCCACACAAGACAGGCTCTAGAGCAATGTGGATATCCTAACTGGGCCTTCCTGAAAGCAGAGAAGAAACCCAAACAGGACTCCAGTCAGCCAACAGGTGAAAAGGAGGAACCCAGACCCAGACCAGTGGTCATTCCATATGTTGAGGGGGTATCAGAGAAACTGAGACGTTTATTTTCTAAACATAACGTCCCAGTGGCTTTTAAACCCCAAAATACATTACGGCAAAGACTGGTTCATCCCAAAGATCCAGTCCCCCGGCACAAACAGAGTAATATTGTGTATGTTGTTCAGTGTCAGGAGGGTGATCAGTCTTACATCGGGGAAACTAAACAGCCACTGGCCAAAAGGATGGCCCAGCACAGAAGATCAACATCATCAGGCCAGGACTCTGAGGTCTACACTCATCTCCAGGCCAGCGGTCACTCTTTCAGGGATGAAGATGTTCACATCCTGGACAGAGAGGAACGATGGTTTGAGAGAAGAGTAAAGGAGGCCATCTTTGTGAAAAGAAACCGTCCATCATTAAACAGGGGTGGAGCCTCCGGGTTCAACTGTCCCCCTCTTACAATGCTGTGATTGCTAGTATCACTCAGCCCTCTGTGAACAGTAAACAGCCATCAGGTGCTAATGATCCATTGTTAGGCTGATGGTCCTTCTTGAGCATGTGATCAGCTGGTTTTGGTTGTCAGCAGCAAAACTGGTTGATCCACCCTGAGACGGTGCTATTTAAGAGACTGAGCTGAATACAGCACCTCAGACTGAGGAAGTCTCTCGGATGAGAGACGAAACGTTTCTACATTTTTTTGTTGATTTGCTTTGTTTTGTTTTTTTTGAATGTCCAGAGGACCAGACTTAACTTTTTTAGATAATTTTGAAATGCTTTAAAATGAAAACTGGATGTGTACAATATTTTTTCTCGAAATATATTCATTTTAAGCTACTGGTACAATGCTTCCATTTCCCATCTGGCAACACTGCCCTTTACAGTGAGTCGCAGGACAACTACAGCAGCATCTCTAAAAAAACTGACAACAAAAGACACAAAAGTTAAATAATTAAAAATTACAAAAATAAAAATTAAGATTTGACAACAATAGTTCATTAAATGTGTGCTCTTCAAACAGTTAACCAATGTATCAAAAGTTGCTACAGTGTGGAAATAAACTACAGGTCCTTCTCAAAAAATTAGCATATTGTGATAAAGGTCATTATTTTCCATAATGTAATGATAAAAATGAAACTTTCATATATTTCAGGTTCATTGCACTCCAACTGAAATATTTCAGGTCTTTAATTGTTTTAATACTGATGATTATGGCATACAGCTCATGAAAACCCAAAATGCCTGTCCCAGACTGAGCAGTCTTTCAATAAGGCCATGGGTGGAGCATATCTTCTGACTGACTCTCTTGTGGTGGAATACATTTTGGGTGTGTTAGCGATGCTGCAGCTGCGCCCAGCTCAGTGACATATATACTAGAATATATGTCATTGGTCCAGCTCTTCTTGAAGGCAGGCCTAATGTTACCTGCCCACTTTGCAGTGATTCAATGGACCAGCTCTCCTCTCACCATTGGTTACTTTCAAAGTAACAAACAAATCAAAAAGCCGCAACATGAATGTAACTTGTAACGCAACGCGTTATAGAAATGTAGTGTAGTAGAAAGTACAGATACTTGATGTAAAATGTAGTGAAGTAAAAGTGTAAAGTACCCACATTTAACTCTACTTAAGTAAAGTACAGATACATGAAAAATGTACTTAAGTACAGTAACAACGTATTTGTACTTGGTTACATCCCACCACTGATGGTTAGAGCAGTCGTCCTCCAATGCAAGAGTTGGGGGTTCGATTCCACCAGCAGTCACATGTCAAGTGTCCCTGGGCAAGACACCGAACCCCTCATCGCCTCCAATGTGTGTCCTATCGGTGTATGAATGTTGATTTAAAGCTCTGATTATTCTTTTGTAGTGATCTAGTACAGAGCTGTATGAATGTGTAAATGAGGCACAGATTGTTGTAAAGAGCTTTGAGGGTTTTGATAAGATAGAAAAGCGCCATATAAGTGCAGTCCATATACCATTACTGTGGTACGTGCATGCAATACGAGTCACATTCTTACTGTATAGTTCTATTAATACGGTTTTGTGCCTCCATAGTCAACAAGTGTTTATCAGTGCCTGGTTAGGATTAGAGCTAATCTTTAACACAGGGTTTAGATCTTAGGTGAAACGGACGTTAAAATAATACATTTTACAGGAAAGCTTTTTATTTATTTTCACTGGTTGCTGTTCTAATTACCAGCTAGATGAAGGACAAAAGTTCTGGTGGGACTGGACTACACATTACTGGCGTATCTTACCTTTCTTGATCATAGGGGACTGGGAAAAGTGGCCGCTGTTGTGAGTCAACATCTGTAAGTGGGACTGTATCTTTGGGGAGGACAGGATGTTTGGTGTGCCCGTAGGAGAATAGTTGAAGATGACAGAACCATAGTTCTGCCTCCGGCCTTCACGTCGGTTGCTGTCAATAGCTGCCTGAAGTTCACCGGGGGAGCTTAGCCCGCGCTTTTCACATTCATATGGATAAAGGTACTTCATATACCTGAAAGAAGAAGATGCCATTTTTATGGTTAATCAGACTTGTGAATTTATGTTTCTAACAACTTTCAGTCAGGTTTTTAATCCAAGTATTATTTTTAATGTGCAGAATATGTCACTGGTGCCCATATCCAGCACTGTGCAAGATGTGATGGGACATCTGGACAGGTCTCCAATCCGGTGACCCCCACGACCCGAAAAGGAAAGAGCGGGTAAAGATAATGGATGGATGGATCACAAAATTCACACAAATCACAATCACACAAAATTCATTCTTGCTGGGGGTGTTCAGAAACAATACCAAAACCAAATAAACAATGTCTCAACAATGACAACAGTAGTGATCAAGCAACTAGAAAACAACGTTTCAACATAGACAAAAGTAGTGATTAAGCAACTAGAAAACAACGTTTCAACGTCGACAAGAGTAGTGATTAAGCAACTAGAAAACAATGTTTCAACGTCGACAAGAGTAGTGATTAAGCAACTAGAAAACAACGTTTCACTGCGTCACTCACTCTGATTGTCAGATTCGATCACGTTATTGCGTCTGAGTTGTTATCTTAACACTTAATTAAGCTTAGACTTATTTAGTTTCTGCTTGGACGACCCTTTTTCCCACGAGGTCTGAGTTTGTGAGATCTTTGTCTCCTGTGGAGTTATTGAACGCCTTGTGTAGTTTGACCTGGTTTCGATGTACCCATTTAACAATTGGCTCTTTTTGGCCTTTGCTGATTTTGATCTGGTAGACAACTGGAGACAGTTTGTCTGTTATCAGGTCGGGTCCAGTCACCTGGGCATCAGTTTGCGGGCGAGAGTTCCGGTCCCGGACTCTCCTTTCCCGGTTGTGGGGGCAAACGTGTAGTATCAGACCCTGTCTCCCACTTGGAGTTCCTCGTGAGAGGCCTTTCGGTCATAGTACGCCTTTCGTCCTTCAGTGGATTTTTCCAGGTTTCTCTGGGCAAAAGCAAAGGTGTTTTTAAGGTGTTTTTCCAAGTCATTCATGTATTGTTGTGTGGTGTAGGCTGTTGCCATGGTGGCATCGCCTGGTTGGTACAACAGGTGTAGAAGGAGAGTCATTTGTCGACCCGTCATCATCTCGAAGGAAGAGATGCCAGTCGATGTGTGTGGAGTGGCCCTTATGGCCATGAGGACCAGAGGGAGTTTCACGTCCAGGTCCTCGTGGTTTGCGGCTACACATTTCTTCAAAATACTTACCACAGTTCTGTTTGCTCTCTCTACGTGGCCTGAGGCCTGTGGGTGGTAGCCAACATGGAAGTTGACTTTGATGCCTAGCATCTTCCACAGTTCTTTCATCACTTCAGTTGTGAAGTGTGTACCTTGGTCTGAGTTCACCCTGAGGGGAAGTCCAAACCTTTAAAATACATGATTCATTAATAACATAGCAGTTGTTTGTGCTGTGTCGTTAGGAGCTGGTAGGCATTCTACCCATTTGGTAAATGCGCAAGTTACCGTGAGAAAATATTTATTTCCTCTAGTGCTCTTAGTAAGTGGTCCAACCCAGTCGATCTGGAGGTCAGACCATGGGAATGCAATGCCTCTACTTTGCAGTGGTGCTCTGTGGAGTGGTCTGGATGGCTGAAACTGGCCACAGACCAGGCACCCTTTTACATAGTCCTTGACATCCTTTTTCATTCCAGGCCAATAAGCAACTTGTTTTAATGCTTTCAGCGTGGCATTATCTCCCTTGTGTCCTGCGGACGGGAGGTCATGGGCCTGAACTAACATCACCCCCCTGTGGTCATGGGGGACCAGGAACACGGATGAGGACGTCGGTCCATGAGCAAAAGTTAGGATGCCCTTGATTAGTTTTAGCTGTTTGCGCAACTGAAAGAGGACTTTAAGGTCTGGATTGGAATCCAGGTCGACTTCGGACGGAGTGTTTTTCTTTGGGTCAGTCAAGTACAGTATCATTGAGTTTATTGCAGGATCCAACGTCTGAAGTTCGATGATATCTGGGTCAGTCAGCACGGGTTGTACAGAGACTGTGTTGTCAGCAGGTTTGGCTGCAGCCTGAGCACGTGTGACTGCCATTACCTCGGCTGTAGGTTGTACTGACAGATTTGCGAGCAGCCAGGAGGAGTCAAAGGACCTCGGAGGGCCGTTCACGGCTCCGTCCTTGGCTAGGAAGTCTGCAAGGTCATTATACCGCTTGTCATCGCCTAGGACTCGTGAATGTCCTGGAACCTTCTTCCAGTAAACTTGTAGGTCATGTGATGTCACCAAGTGATCACATGCCATGAAAAGCTCTTCGAGTTTGACCACTTTCTTGTTGCTTGTGAGAAAGCCGTTCTTTTTCCACCGAGCGAGATGACACAAGAAACTAAGTCGAGCGTAATTAGAGTCCGTGCAGATGACTAGCGTTTGGATGGAGCGTTCTACTGCCATCTGGAGAGCTATTAGGATTCCTGCTATCTCAGCGTACTGAGAAGACTGAGAGCCTAATTTATAGCTAAAAGTGACCTCTTCTTGGTCCTGGAGGAGGATCCCTCCAACACCTGATTTGCAGGTTTTTTCATGGTGGAATGAGCAGCCATCCACGTAAAGTGTTGTCATATCTTTGCAGATATTGCTATCAAAGTAGTGGTGATTCGGGTCCTCACTTACTGAGGGATTTTCCGCAGCTGACGGTTGGGTGGCTGGTACATCTTGTGTACATTCCTGGCAGACCTCTAGAATGGTCTGTCCAGCCAAAAGTTTTGCTGTGTCTAGCACAGGAGGATCCTTTGTGGCTGGTTTTAGTGACCATGTACATTGTGGCTGGTGTCCACTCGGACACCTATTCTTACCAAGATGTCAGAGCCTATGTAGGTTGAATGTGGTAAGTCTGGGACCACGAGGAATGGGTGGACCAGTTCCCGTTGGTTCCAGATCAGTTTCAGGTTAATGACTCCTTTCGCAGTCATCACTCGTGAACTGTTGGGATACAATGGAAAGCGGAAAGCTTTCTCGATCAGAACTGGACCCAAATGTTTTTAACCAATGTTTCGTAGAAAGCTTGGTTAATAGCTGATTTATCTGTCCACAGCGACAGTACAGCATCTTCGGTGTGGGATCCTTGGATCTCTACACCTTTAGCTGCCAATGGTAGGTAGTATCTGGTGGGCTCTGACTGTCTCAGCTCGCAGAGGAGGCTTTCTTGTTCAGTCAGAGTTGGGTCCACCGGTTGGGTCTCTTCGGTTTCACATGCTTTTAAAGGATTACTTACCGGGACTGTGTTCTCTGCTGAGAAGTCCTCAGTGCCTTCTGCGGTGCCTGCTGTTGGGCAGTCTGTGACCATCTCAGGAGGCATAAGTATTGGCAGGGGTTTGCTCACTCTGGCCCACATTGTCTGTTCACCATAATCTATAACCTCAGCAGAAGTAAGGAGTACCTTCAGGAGGATTAATCCGCACAAGGCAACTGGCCCAGACAACATCCCCGGAAAAGTGTTGAAGGAATGTGCTGATCAGCTCTGTGAGGTGCTGGCAGACATCTTTAACACCTCACTTACCCTGGAGACAGTTCCCACCTGCCTGAAGACTGCCACCATCATCCCAGTCCCAAAAAGCTCTACAGTGACTGGTCTGAATGACTATCGGTCAGTGGCCCTCACCCCGATAGTCGCTAAATGCTTTGAAAAACTGGTCATGACTCACATCAAAACAACCATCAACATCAACGAGGAACCTCATCAGTATGCATACCGTGAGAACCGATCAACAGAGGACGCCATCTCCTCTGTGGTCCACACTGCGCTCAACCACCTGGAGCAGAAAAACTCTTACGTCCGTATGCTCTTTGTGGACTTCACATCTGCCTTCAACACCATGATCACCCAAACCCTGATGGACAAACTATCCACACTAGGACTAAGCCCCTCCATTTGCAACTGGGTACTAGACTTTTTAACAAACAGACCACAGTTAGTGAGGATCCACAACTTCTCCTCCTCCACCATAACCCTCAGCACTGGCTCTCCTCAGGGATGTGTGTTGAGCCCCCTCCTGTTTACTCTGCTCACATATGATTGTGCAGCTACCCATCCAGGCTGTCACATTGTAAAGTTTACAGATGATACAGCGGTGGTGGGATGCATCACAAACAATGATGAGTCCAGCTACAAGCAAGAGGTGGAACACCTGGAGAGCTGGTGCAAAGAGAATAACCTTCACATCAATGTGAAGAAGACAAAGGAGATGATTGTGGACTTCAGAAGGAACAAAAACATCTACACCCCCCTGAACATAAGAGGATCTGCGGTGGAAGTGGTCTCCAGCTACAAGTACTTGGATGTACACATGAATGACAACCTCAGCTGGAGCAACAACACCACCAGCCTGATCAAGAAAGCTCATCAGAGACTCTACTTCCTCAGACGGCTGAGGTGAGCTGGTCTGGGAAGCTCAGTCCTCACCTCCTTCTACAGGTGTGCAGTGGAGAGCATCCTGTGCTCCAGCATCAACGTGTGGCATGGAGGCTGCACAACTGCAGAAAGAAAAGCTTTGCAGAGAGTGGTGAAGGCTGCACAGAAATCTGTCGTAATCAGCCTCCCCGCCATCACAGACATCTACACCTCGAGATGCAGGAAGAGGGCCACCTGTATCATGAAGGACCCCACTCACCCAGCAAACACACTTTTTGCCCCACTCCCCTCAGGAAGGAGGTTGAGGAGCATTAAGTGTAGAACCAATAGACTGAGTAACAGCTTCTACCCTGAGGCTGTTAGACTCATGAATCTCTAACTAGAATAATCACTGTGAAAAACCACATCATGTTGCTGCTGATCTGTTTCAATGTTGATGTGTTCATGCGTGCACATCTGCTCACAGACTCATGTTCATGTTTGTGCTGATGTTCAATGTTTTATGTTATGAGTGCTTAGTGTATATTTAGTTGATGTTTTTCTTAGTTCATATCTTAGATGTTATTACTGTTTTTCTTATACATTTTATTGTTAGATGTAACTGGGGCCTTGTGTACATAATTTCGCTCCACCACATG